ATTGTTGATACGTATTCGAAAATTGAAACCGAACGTCTACTGTATATTAAATTAAATCAAACCAAATTACGTTCAGAAGAATGCATTCATTTACGGGATGCAATAATTAATGATGGTAACGTTAATCCTAATGATGTGGGGAAAATGATTATACTGCAGGCTACATTTACAAGGAGTCCAAGGCACATGTATGAATATTCACAGGATGCCATGACATATGTTCGCGCATATGGGTGCCCAGATTTATTTATTACATTTACATGCAATCCTGCTTGGATTGAAAATAAAGAGCTTTTGTTACCAGGACAATCATCATCAGATCGTCATGTTATTACCGCACGTGTGTTCAAACAAAAATTGAAATCTTTACTTGATTTCATTGTGAAGCGCCATGTTTTTGGAGAGACACGGTGTTGGATGTTCTCTTGAGCGGCAAAAAAAAGGATTGCCACATGCACACATTCTGATTTGGCTTATCGAAAAAATCACACCATGCCAAATTGATCAGATCATATCAGCAGAAATACCTGACATCGCAATTGATAGACTTATTTCAGGTCGTTATACAGAATATGATTCATGGTCCGTGTGGATCACTCAACAACACTTCACCTTGCATGTTCAATGGAAAATGCACCAAACGATATCCAAGAGAACTAACTGCTGAGACTGTCACTACGGCTATCCACTTTATCGACGACGATCTAAAGAAGATGGCGAAAGATCCATCATTTTAAAAATGCGGAACAACGATGTTGAAGTCGATAATCGTTGGATTGTACCCTATACACCGTTGCTCTCGAAAACGTACAAAGCACACATCAATGTCGAAAATTGTAATTCGGTGAAAGCGATCAAGTATATATTAGTAAACATGTAAATAAAGGAGGCGACATGGCAGTTTTTGGATTGGAAAATGCTACTTCAACAATCGATGAAGTCAATCAATATCAATTGGGACGCTACATTAGTAGCAATGAAGCAATCTGGCGCATTTTATCATTTCCAATTCATGAACGGCATCCAACAGTTCTTCATTTGGCAGTGCACCTTGAAAATGGACAGCGAGTTTACTTTACAGCAGAAAATGCCAGTTCAAGAGCATTGTCACCACCACAAACAACGTTAACGGCATTTTTCTCTTTGTGCAGGGATGACGCATTTGCAAATACGCTTCTTTACTGTGAGATGCCAACATACTACACATGGAGTGCTTCGGCGAAACATTTTCAACGTAGAAAGCAAGGTAAACCAGTTGAAGGACATCCCAATTTATATTCAACTGACGCATTAGGTCGTCTCTACACCATCCACCCTAACAATGCAGAATGCTTCTACTTATGATTACTGTTAGTCAACGTGCGATGGCCGACATCGTTTCAAGAATTAAGAACAGCAAACAATGAAGTATGTGTCACTTATCGCGAAGCTTGCCAAAAATTAAATCTTCATGAAAATGACTCACATTGGGACGCTTCAATGGCAGATGCATCGAATACTGCTCGACCGCAGCAAATACGTACGTTATTTTCAATGATATTAACTATGTGCTTTCCATCCAATCCAAAGGATCTTTGAGAAAAATACAAAGAAAATATGAGTGCAGACATACTACATCACTTACGTGCAACAAAACAAAATCCAGACATTCAATTCTCTCCAGACGGATATAATGAGGATTTAATTTCAATCGAAAACATATGTTTAACAATCTTCAATAACAATCTTAACGATGCTCATACAATCTTTTCAATCGTTATTTTCTACGACAAACGCATTTTGATATCGACAAACTAAGTTCATTTGTTCAATCAAATATTTCAAAATTGGTTATGGAACAACGCATAGCATACGACAAAATTATGACAGCTGTTACAAATCGAAGCGGTGGATTGTTTTTCTTAGACGCACCTGGAGGAACAGGTAAAATATTTCTAACTTCCCTTATCCTGGCAACAATACGATCACATAACAAAACTGCATTGGCTTTGACATCCTCTGGAATTGCGGCAACTCTTTTGGATGGTGGCCAAACAGCGCATTAATTACCTTTAAATATGCAATTCCCTGAAACACCCACATGCAATATCAAAAAAAATTCTGTAATGGGTAAAATACTACAATCATGCCAACTTATAATTTGGGATGAATGCGCTATGGCGCACAAAAAGGCATTAGAAGTGCTTTATCATACACTAAGAGATTTGAGAGAAAATGAACAACTTTTCGGCAGCGCACTTATTTTATTGTCTGGTGATTTCCGGCAAACTCTACCAGTAATTCCACGTTCAACTCCTGCTGATGAACTTCATGCATGTCTCAAATCATCAGCGTTGTGGCAACATGCTCAAAAATTACACTTAAAAACCAACATGCGTGTTCAACTACAGCATGATGCATCAGCCGAACGTTTTGCAAAGCAATTGTTGGATATTGGTAATGGAATGATGGTAATAGATAAATCCACCCAAAGCATTACACTGCCAGCAGACTTTTGTAAAATTATTTCTACCGTAGATGAACTTTTTCACAACGTTTTTCCCAATATCTCTCAAAATTACAAAAATCTTCAGTGGCTCAGTGAACGTGCTATATTAGCAGCAAAAAATAACGATGTACAGTCCGCAAAAAAAAAACGAATCACCCTGAATAACTTTCGTTCTAATGATCGGATTTTCACGAACTAAGTGTCAATCTTAATGGTTCCTGGGGGTGACCTCAAATATGNTTCGAACGTTTGCAGTTTCCGGTGTGACTTGCTTTTGCCATGACCATCAACAAAGCCCAAGGACAGTCACTCCAAGTATGTGGTCTGAATTTGAAAAATCCATGCTTCTCCCACGGACAGCTCTATGTGGCCTGCTCACGTGTCGGAAGACCTTCTAATTTATTCGTGTACGCTCCAAACGGTAAAACAAAAAACATTGCTTATTCAAAAGCACTTGAATAAACCTGATTATAACTAGCCGGAAAATTGCCAAATGCTTTTCACCAATTAAGTACATCTCTGACAACAATTAAATACAAAATCAGAAACATCTGAGCAACAGCAAGCAAAACTGGTTATCGATCAACTGCACGTCTCTCAAGCCCATTCGCCCATTCTTTTGAAATATCTTAGCAACGGTAAGAAAGACAAGTTACCGATTTAAAATACATTGCTCAAGCCCGATTATCTGAAACATCAAAACAAGATTTAAGAATAGAAAACGATAGAAAACTCACTTCTCTATTCAAACGCCGCCAATACTCTGGTTTAATTCTTACAATATTTCACTATTATCCAATTACTAATTATATTCCCTATCCAAGTTATCATTAAAAAAAATGGATCATTTATCTGTGTTTTGTAGTGCTCTCAAATTTAAGAATGAAGCAGCTGGAATTTGCTGTTCTGGTGGAAAAGTGAAACTACCAGATTTAACGTCGCCAACTGACACATTATCAACGTTGTTATCGGGTCAATAAAATCAATTGAAACTTTTTTTGACGAATATATGTCGGTATATTCGTGTTTCCAAATGACTTCATTCGGAGCTACAAGTATCGGTGTGCATATGGGCAGCCAAAGTTATTTGCTACATTAACATGCAATCCTGCTTGAGCTGAAATTAAAGAGCTTTTGTAACCTAGGCAAGCATCATCTGATCTTCATGATATTACCGCACGTGAGTTAAAACAAATATTAAGCTCTATACTTGATTTCATTGCAAAGCGTCATGTTTTTGGAAAGACACGATTTTGAGATATCCTATTGAATAGAAAAATGAGGATTGCCAGCTTATTGAAAAAATCCCGCCATGCCAAATTGGTCAGCTAATATCAGCAGAAATACCTGATGTCGCCACTGATCCAGTCTTATTTATGACCATCATTCAAAATATGTTTTATGGTCCGTGTGCATCACCATACATGTCTGTTTGAAAATGCACTAACGATATCCTAGAGAATTAACTGCTTTGACTATCACGGATTTTTTCACCATTCAATAAAATTCTCATTTCAAATCATAATCGCAAATCTCATTTAAACACCTAAATACATAAATTAAAATTCAAACTGAAAGCGTTGCAACGCGCGCAGGGTACAGCTAGTAGTAGATAAAAAAAATTTTAATCCGCCAGTTACAGCCGCTAACATTGGAAGTGTTTTTATTCAGTGTTATCATCGAATGTTAGTGTCTTCTATGCTTCTATAACAAATTAAGCCTCTGGGGGTACTGGATTGGAGATTGATTGTTCTCTGGTTCAGGTCAAAATTGTGATCTGTGGATGAATGAATGGACGTACAAATGGGTCCGCCCTAAAAAAGGGGGTGGCAGAAGTCGTATTCTTGGTCATAGATGGCGCCACTTGAAAACAAGAACAATCGCACTCCCAATGCCTTAATGACCTACGACAACAACAATAACAGCATCGAATGTTAGTAAATAAAAAAAAGTTTAATATGTGCTTTTTGTATGCCACCGAAAAACTTATCCGGCACCCCTTAGGAGCACACGTGTCGCAGGTTCACCAACCTTGGAGCGAAACTGAAACGTATCAGCTTAGAGCCACATTTTACCCTTTCCGGAATAGTACATTTTAGTACATTAACAAGTACAAACCTTAGACAGTACATTAAAAGTGAAGCGACATACACATACGGTCTTTGTTGTATAAAAAATATTAGTTTCAAAAGCGTTTGAAAGCAATTAGTTTATATTTCTAATGGTTTGTATTATGCGTTGAATTAGTCTTGCCAGACTAGCTACACTGAACTAGAAAAGGTTAAGCAACATCCTTCAGTAAACTGCCTTTAGATTGTTTTAATCTTTCCTTTTCTTATATTGACCACAAAAGTAATTGCTCGGAGCTTGAAACCTTTTTCGTTTTCACCTAATTTGCATACTAATTGTACAAAAATTCAACAACTTTTTAAAAGATTTCCCGAATCTGTATTAAAGGCAACCATTATGGTACTGCTCGAAATTTTTTTTATTCACAACTTAACTTTTTCAGGTACCTAAGGCGACAGCTCAGATTCTAGAAGCTCACGGTTATCTTGTCCAGTACAGGGGACTGGTAGCGGTGAAAGGAAAAGGTGAAATGGAAACATACTACGTCCTGGGGAGGCGTCGCTCAGTTGGAAGGCAGATGTCAGTGGGTCGCCATCCCAGTGTACACAAAAGCCTGGCAGCAGTCGTATATGGACTTGTTCGAGCCCGCAAAAAGGGTCTCGGGTCAAGTCTGAGTGTTCCTAGTCCTCAGAGGCGCCTGGCAGCACAGCCTCTGGTGCCGCCCTCTCGTCACAAACTTCAGAGAATTCTATCTGAAACACCCCACCCAGGTAGGAGAAAACGGATGCGTGAACGACGCATGACGGATGCCGGTGGCAGTAGTCACTCTTACCCGGACATGAGGAATGTTGTGATTGATCTCGATCTGAAAGGAATTTCTTGACCTAAATGTTCTGCACACGACACTCCCTCCCACCCTCATTGTGATATTTCATGAAAGCGTTGCGTCATTTCCTTGTGAATTGTTTCATTGTTCCACGGGTGAATGTCCCAGTGAATGCCGGTATTCTTTGCAACTCTATAAGGTTTAACTGAAATGGAATACAAAAAGAAGTTTTATTGCAATGATCTGATCCATTCAATTCCAATCTTAAAAAATACGATTCAAATGGTACAAGGTGATGTCATTTTTTTTATTTATTTTGAATAGTTAATTAGTTTTTCTACTGTTTAAGCGTTTAACGGGTGTTAGTCATCCTTTATACAAGTCTGTTTTAACCTCTTCACATTATCATTGGTTTCGCAGCTTGAACATTTTTGCGTTTGAGTGTATACCGTAAACTATCACACTGAGCCTGGTCAAAACTACAAAAAAAACCTGGTCGTAACTATCAGAATATGTTAAAATCTACCTTGTGTCTAGCTCTATGGGAACATAAAAAAAACATGGTAATTTTTACTGAAGCACTTCGATAATGATTTTGGTAAATTTAGATATTAATTATTGCTTTATACTAAGTGTTAAAATTGGTAAATGCGGTAAAATTTAGAAATTTTATCATACTTTAGAGCATGGTATAAAAATCATTTATTTGGTTTTCTTTACTTTTCAGTTTTATATTTTTATTCAATGGGGAGGGGGTAATAATGACAATAATTTTGAAAACCAGAACTTATGATAAACCGTAATCATATGAAAGGTTTAAATACCATATATTTTGGTTTCACTCGCAGAATTATTGTTTTTTAAAAGAAAGGTTTTTTTTACGTTTAGTACGGTAATTTCATGAGAATTTTTTCTTCGTGCATCCGCACTAATTTATTAGTACATTTATTGGTGCACCTTTTGTACCATAAGATTACGCATTAATTCCCAAAAAGCCTACTTACTACTCGTCAAAAACTACTAAAGGTGTTTTTCTAGACCACCCAAGCAATTTACTTTGTTTATTTTGAGTGTTACTGCATGACAAAGTTGGTAAGATGACTGCCATTAATATTATAGAGTAAAACCTCCAAGAAAGACCACCTCTATGTAGCGACCACTTTTGGCAGGCACGGGATTTTTTTTCACAGACTTTGTGCAAAAGAAAACCTTTCTGGCAGACCATTAAAAACTCTTCCAGCTACCGAAAAAACATCCACACCAAATGCTGAAAAGGCTAAATAAGGAAAATCAAAAAAATATCAAACCAAAAATTTAACAAAACAAATAAGTACATTAAAATGCATTCTAACTATTTGTGAGAGGATCTTATTTAGAGGGTTCGTTTTGACGATACAACCTCATGGCATCAG